CGTCGACACCGCTCCCAGCAGCCGCAAGACCTTCGTCCTTTGGCGCCCGCCCATCGTCGCGGAGTGGTTCACGCCTCCTTCGCAGGGCGCCAAGAAGGCGGCGGTATCGGCGGGGGGGGCGGGGGGCGGGGGGGGGGGAGGGGAGGTAGGTCCAGGAGCGGCGGCAGCTGGAGGGGGACGGCAGGGCGAAGGGGAGCAAGCGGTGTCCGATGCCGCCTCGCGATCCCGCGGGGGTGAGGGGGGCGGCGGCAGGTGGAGAGGCGGGCGTGGTGGCAGTGGCGGCGGCAGCGGCGGTGGCGGCGGTGGTAGTGGTGGTGGTGCTGCTGCTGGAGCGCCGTCCTTGAGGGGCCTGGGGGGGTGGAGAAAGGGCCCGAGTGACAACTTTTACAACAAGGAGTACCTGAAGCTCATGGGGGCGGCGCTGCCACGGCCATCGCCACTACCCTCCTCCTCCTCCTCCTCCTCCTCCTCCTCCTCCCCCCCTTCCGTGCGAGGGGCGGGGGGGAGCGCTTCGGGAGTTCCCGCCAAGGAGGGCGGCGTCGAGGACACCGGAGACGAGGAAAGTAACGGCGGCGGCGGCGGCGGAGGTGGGAGCGGCGCTGCAACCGGCAAGGCGGCGGGAGCAGCAGCAGCAGCAGCAGCTAAAGGGCGGACGCGCGGCAGCAAGAAGCGCGGGCGCGGGGAACAACGGGCTGGAGCGGCGGGGGGGGGCTCCCCGGAGTCCGCCGCTCTCCTCGAGGCTGGCATAGTCGGGGATATGGCGGCGGTGGCCTCGGCGATAGGCGACCCTAGTAGCGGCGGCAGCGGTGGGGATGCAGGGACACCGGGGTCCAGAACAAGAACGCCGGGGAGCGGGGCGGCGGGAGGGGAAGGGGAAGAGGAAGGGGAAGGGGGGGGAGAAGGAGGGGGAGGGGGCGAGTGGGAGGACGGGCGGCGACGCAGCCCGATCTGCGAGACGGCGCAGATCCTAGCGGCTCTGGTGAAGCAGCGGGTCAAGACGCTGGCGTTCTGCCGCACTCGAAAGCTGACGGAGCTGACGCTGCGCTACGGGCACCAGGTATGCGCACGCTCATGTTCCATGTACAAATTCAAGCCTGCTACTTGGTTTGCTATGTTTTTTTTTGTATGTCGTCTTTGAACCACATGGCCAGATTTCCACGTATACACGCGCATCGGTAGACGCCACATCAACACCCCCTGGACATGAAGCCAAGGTGGGTACTAAAACAGACGTCTACACTCTTCGACGCGGGGAGAGCGCGATACTGCACATGCCTTTGGAGCACATTGAAACCACCCTAACGACATGTTCAGCCGAGGTTTGGATCATTTGGCCGCATTTGCTACACCTCGGTCTGCGTGTGTACATAGTGAAAAGACATACCAAGAGCGGCCAAAGTGTAAGAGAGGGGAAGAGAAGCGCATGCGTACTGTGCCCTCTTTCGGCCGCGGTTATTTCGTCGTGTGGGACAGCGGCAGTGCGTTTCTCTCGCGCCCGGCTATGCGACTAAGAAACGCAACAGATGGCACGCATCGACCCCCATGGATTACGACTGAGCACCAGCACCAGCACCAGCACCAGTAGCACCAGCATCAGTAGCAAAATCGGTGTCAGGCCCCCTCGCCTGGGGGGGGGCGCGGCGCGATGAACGATTGATTGAATCGACTGCCGTGGCACGCGATTTTTCTCGGCGACGCGTCTGGTGGAAAAAAGCTAGCTAGCTGCTAAGGTGGCGGGACCGGTGTGCCTTTTTCCTCTGTGCTCTGTCACTCTGCCAAGCAGGACCCACCTGCCTCAAGCCGCAGCCCTGCCTCCCGCGCTACTTGTTCTTCTTGCTGTGTAAACTGACAAAAAAAAAGAAGATGGTAGTCCTGCTGTATGGGCATACTACCTGCCGGCGTCTTTCTTCAAACGTGTTGATCGTTTCTGGTCATGGTCGTGTCGTCTGCCGTAGTCGTAGGCATAAGCGTTTCTTTTTTTTTAGTTCTTCTCGGTCCTTCTGTTGTTCCTCGGCGTGCGTGTTTCGGTCGCCCCGTGCCAGGACTTGGGGAAAACCGCGCCGCAAATGGTGCCGTTGGTGCAGGGATACCGGGGCGGGTACACAAAGGACGAGCGACGGAAGATCGAGGGCAGCCTTTTCGCCAACAAGGTTCGTCGGCGTCGTATTGTGGCGTTATCGTTAAGCGTTCGCGTCAGCCTTTGGGCGTGGGTGGATGTGTAGTACTTAGGGCTCCGTCGTTGTAGTATTCAGAATGAGGGTTGGCGTCACGTGCATCCGTAACCTCGGGGCTAGCGTAGCATCAGGCACAAGCGTGGGCGTTTAGCTCAGAAGAGCACGTGGTCACGGTTGGCAGGCAGAGGGAGCGAGTCATGTCGTGCTATGAACGAGCTGACAGCGAAATCGAAAAGCCTTAGCCTTCGTTTAGTCTACAAGACCAAGAACGCATTCTGCGTCTAACACCTCATTTTTCCGACACAAACCGCTAACCGTTGGAGCCCCGCCCCCCTCTCTATCGCGCAAATGTCAATAGTGTCGTCTATTAGCAACACATGCAAGACCCACTTCTCCCGTTCGTGTGTGTGTGTATGTGTGTGCATGTCGTCTCCTCTCTTGGTGCGTTACTTGCTCAGCTCCTGGGCGTGACTGCCACCTGTGCCCTGGAGCTGGGGGTAGACATCGGCGAGCTGGACGTAACGCTTCATCTAGGGTTTCCAGGTAAGAAACTAAGAAAAGGGCGGGAGGCGTTTGTGTCGTGCAATATTGGTATTCCATGGTGGTTGTTTACGATATCGATAACTCGGGGAGAAAGACACATAGTGTTCTTTCTGTGTGTTCTGTTGTCCTTTTTAGTACTCTAGCGTCGTCAAGAGTTGATGGTCTGGAGGATCGACGCAGGCGTCGCCTTGAAAGAGTATTGTTTTCGCTCGCGGGCGTGGCTTTTTTTTTTTTTTGTGTCCAGTGCAATCCAGTCAGGGTCGCGTGTCGGGCCCTTGATAGCAGGAAACCCCGCACAATCTACAATATGATAAAAAGTGCTCACCTACGTATCTCCTAGTCTACGCAGTAAGCTCATTTTTTGTATGCGTGCAACCCATTTCTCATTTTCGCGAAGGGGGCGAAGCTTTTTGTACCACTTTTGGTCGAAATTGTCTCACTTCGCGGAAGCCCTGGGGCTGACAGTCACTCGCGCATCCGCGGTTTGCGCGAGTATTCCTATGTATCCCGCGGTAAGCGAATAGTATCGGATTCGGGACGTCAAGCAGTAGAACGACCCTGGTGTGTATGTATGTAGCAATAGCCTCCAACCGCCGTGTGTCTCATTCCTCCCCGTCGCCGCCGTTGTCATGGTCGTCGTTGCCGTGATGATCGTCATGGTTATCATCGTCATCGTTGTTGTTGTTGTTGTTGTTGTTGTTGGGAAAACGCAGGCAGTGTGTCGAGCCTGAGGCAGCAAGCGGGCCGGGCCGGCAGGGGCGGGAAGGACTCGCTGGCTATCATGGTCCTGTTTCAGGTAGACGGCGCAGACGTCTGCAACGGGTTGTTGTTGTTGTTGCTGATGTCGTCGTTCTTGAATGTTGGTGTACGATGGTGTGTGTTTTCAGAGGTACTTCCATCACAGTCTCCGCGTGCTTGTAGCTCCTCTTCCCTGAGCGCGTTGTACGCGTCTCGAGAGAGTATTCCATCCTACTTAAAAACGATATCTTCCCCCGTACATGCTCGAGGGCACCCCATTGCTTACTTACGATGCGTCCAGGGCACCCCGCAGCGCTACCACACTCCCGGGTTAAACACCACACGGTGTAGTGCGGACAGCGGTTACCGCAATGACGTCGAGTAAGCGAACACATACAAGCGTTGCTTTCGCCGAAATCCAGCACGATACGGTACGGCACGATGCGGTACGGTGCGATACGGTGCGGTGCGGTGCAGTGCGGTGCAGTACGGCACGATACGGTCCGGTGCGGTCCGGTGAGGTGCAGTACTGCTGTACGGCATGGTACACTACCGTACGCTACGGTGCGGTGCCTTACGGTACGGTACCCGACTCGCTTGAGTCTCCCAGCCGCGAGCCTTTGTGGCCCCGTCTTGTAGTTTGCTTAGCGCCCACCGCTGCCGTGACGCGCAAGTTGTAGTAGACATGTCGCCTGCCATCCGACTCGGGTTACGAGGATCCCGCGAGCGAAAGAATGAAGGAGGTTCTTTCGTTCGTGTACCAGCAATTCACGCACACACCGGTGTCGTGTTTGTTCTGGCTCCGATTTTGCGAGCGGACGAGGAACAAGCGGCGGCGGCGGCGGCGGCGAAAGTCCTCGCCTTCTGAAGACACCCGCACAACGAAGCACTACTGTCACTCACCCAACCTAATGCGTCCGTGCTGCCTCCCCCGCCCCCCCGGCCGCGGCCGCGAGAGTTGGCCTATTTGAACTGAATTCCCTCCTCCTCCTTCCCTTCTCGTCGATCTCTCTGCACGTGCCAATCGGTGTGTTGTTATTGTTGTTGGGGGTGGGTGGGGGGCAATCAGGACCCCATCTCTGAGTTCTTCGTGCGCAACCCGGCGGAGCTGCTGCACAAGGCGCCAGAGGCAGCCGTCCTCGACTCCAACAACGAGCTGGTACGTCTTGAGCGCTGTTGTGCATCTCCCCGTGTTTGGCGGGCGCTTGGGGTGCGATGTGTGTCTTTGGATTCGCGAATAGATTTTTCCTTCTGTTCGAGTCAGTGTGAGAAGGAGGGAGAGGCTGGCTCGTGTGCAGCAAGTACCGGGGACCCTCTGTTCAAGAGAGAGAGAGGAAGAAAGAGAGAGAGAGAGAGAGAGAGAGAGAGAGAGAGAGAGAGAGAGAGAGAGAGAGAGAGAGAGAGAGACAGACAGACAGACAGACAGAGGGTTTGGGGGGGTCCGTTACTCAGTAACAACAAGCCAGACTCTGCGACTGATACAAAGGATTCCTCCGGAGTGGGCGTCTCATGAGAGCACACACATAGTGTCATCAAGGGGTGATGATGCA